ACCTTTATTTTGTTCTGTTGGCAAAATTTTATTTATTCTCTCTCCCGCGTTTTTCTCTGATTGATTGTTGTATGTAAAAGTCTTGCTCAATAAAACCATATTTTTCTGTATTCTAAACAGTTTATTTTAATAATCCACCTCTTAAAATCAACATATTTATTGTAATTATTCCGTCTATGATCATTTCCCTACTGATGACTGTAATTTATGTTCTAATTAAGTACGTATTAAGAAAAATTGCGATTCTTAAAAGTATTTTTAAAACGTTTTACCAAAGTAAAGTCAAATAATTAGATAGTTAATAAAACAGTAAGACTGATCAAAACTTTAGATTATATAAGGTAAGTTTGTGGTAATGTATGAATGAATACTTACTCTGTAACTGACGCAAAAAGAATACTAATGTTAAGTTTTCTTATTTCAATTTGTTATTACTTTTTTGGATAACTTTATTTAAAGTAACCAAATATGGCCTTAATTTTATAATACCTTGTGATCTCAATTATTATGTTATTATAAACTACGGAGTCCTTATTAACCTTTTGAACGCCAGAGCAAAAACGCATGAACTTGCCCTCAACGCCAGGCCACAAATTCACCGCAAATATCTACGAAAAAAATAGGGATTCCAAAACTTCATCGATAATCAATTTTATTTTCGTCTTTAATTTCGAAATATAATGTCCTTATAACATTGAAATTCAATTCAACATTACATTTCTTCCTATTAAAGTAATAGTTATACACTATTTACAGACTTGTATAATACCGTAATAACAGATATGAGACTACAATATATTTAAATATAATAACTGTAGGTACAACACTATTCTTGATCTGCTGTCTTCATATTGTGACCATGGCGTGGACGGCCCGCCATTTTAATAACTACTTCGCTTCCGAAATAAGGATGTGGCAACGTAATATCTCGTTTATCGATGTTCTAGTACAATATTATTTTATAATAAATGAAACACGTTTTTTAAATCAGATTTATAATTCCGAATGTAACAGGTACTTAAAAATATATGATTGAAATAGGTTAAGAAGGTAAATAAAAACTATGAAAAAATAGAAAATTTTAATAAAATGTTATACAGTATGTACTATGTATACATGTTTTTAAATATTAAGTTCTATAAACCTGGCATAAAAAGTAACAAATTAAAACAATTAACGATTATATATAATTATCACAATTACCAATCAGTCTTATACTAATAAATCTTTTGAATAATAGAGCAAAATTATACAAAATCTACAATGCAACCTGCATTCTGAACTCTGAACTCGATATCACAAGTAAATTAATCATAAATATTATTCATTCACTTCACTAATTTCTGGTCGCCGCGCTTGTGACGTCACGATATTGTCGTCTAGTCGTGACCATGGCGTACAGGGTACTGATAATTCGGGTTGCGTTAGGGATGCGCTCGAGTTGGGATTAGTGAATATCGAAATTCGACCCAACCAAATTTTATTTTTGACTATGTAGCTTATTGAATGATTTTTAAGACTGGTTTTATAAAATTAATGCTGCTTTATCCTAGTACCAAATTATACCTAAAATAATATATTCCAGAGGAAAGTTTCGCATCGATCTTTGATTTAAAATAATGATATTATCCAACATGCGCTACATCACTAGCGGTCACGCATTTATGACTCTGGCGTGTGAGGACATTCTTTTTTCAGAGTTTATTTCTTTCTTTTTAACGTAAAATTTCTCAATATTTATAATGCAATTTAATTAGTTTTATGGAAATAAATAAATTTTGGACCTTCTATTTTACAGGTATATAAATAAATAGGCATTAAAGTAATGTTTAAATAGTTTATTTCGTGTTTTAATGTACCGCTGTTTTTGTCACATATTTGTGTCGTTGGCGCTCAGGGACAGTTTTCGCTTGTCACGTATTTGTGAC